CCTTGGGCCCAGCGCGACAAACGTCGTCTCCAAAAGTAATGTTTTAAATTCATTAAAAATCCATTGAAATTACTTACTTAAAGGTTTTGAGGGTCACTGTAGTCGGCAACAGCGTCCGAGGTACCTGGACCCCAGGGCGATCGTCATACACGTCGTCTCCGGGAGTTCTGTTTTAAATCCATTAAAAATTAGTTGAAATAATTTACTCGGGGGTTTTGAGGGTCGCTGAACGTCAATATGTAGTCGGCAACAGCGTCCGAGGTACCTGGACCCCAGGGCGATCGTCATACACGTCGTCTCCGGAAGTTCTGTTTTAAATCCATTAAAAATCAGTTGAAATAATTTACTCGGGGGTTTTGAGGGTCGCTGAACACGAATGTGTAGTCGGCGACGGTATACAATGAAGGTTTAGATGAAAACTGGTTCGATATTCGTATTCAGCGACCCTCAAAACCTCCGAGTAACTAATTTCAATTGATTTTTAATGAATTCAAAATATAACTCCTGGTGACATGTATAACGGTCGCCCTGAGGCTCAGGTCGTCCCGATTGCATATTCGGGTTCATCGACCCTCAAAACCTTCGAGTAACTAATTTCAATTGATTTTTAATGAATTTAAAACATAACTCTTGATGAAGACGTGTATGACGGTCGTCCTGAGGCGCAGGCATCTCGGAGGTCGTCCCGANATAAAAAATAGGCGAGATAGGTTGGTAGGACACGTTCTCAGGCATGAAGGTCTAGTCAGAGACATATTAGAGGCAGAAACAGGAGTTAGGAGGGGTAGAGGTAGACGTAGATTAGATTACTCTTCGCAAATAGTTAGGGATGTGGGCTGTTCTAGTTTTAGGGAAATGCGAAGATTAGCTCAGGATAGGAAAGAGTTGAGGTACGTGTCCAACCAGTCTTAGGACTGATGACCTTATGATGATGATGATGAATCCAACCGGTGTTTTCCCGAATGTTAATCAGTAGTGTAAATCTCTCAGAAGAAAATAAAAATGGTTAGAAGTGAGAAGGTATTATATAGAAAGTGTAGAACAAGCAAAAAAATTTTATCATTCGTTTATTTTGAATATTTCGAAATGTATTATGATAAACAAGGAAGATAATTTTGAAAATCATCGCAATCTGTTCCTATATATATATATATATATAAGTGTATGTAATTCTTCTTATTTACTTGTTTGTCTTACGTAAGAATTGAATCATTTTGTTGTAAATGTTCGGTTAATCCGCCAATAAAAATATGTAGACGTTTCAAGAATAAATCCATGATGTAGAATATGTTTATATCTAATGGCAATGTATTAGACGTATAGTTTAACCTCGACTTTTTACCATCGTTTTACATTATTTATACTAAATATTCACACAGCTTCCTTTACAGTATGTCTATGTGACTGTTATTGGATATTGGATAGTGCATTTCCTCGTTACGTCATCTTGTCACAACATTAATTAACCTTACAGCTTGCTTGGTACGAACGTGCTAAAGTTTCACGTGAACAGGTCATACATATATACATACTCGATACATAAAGAAATTCACGATACAACAAATAGTGAGTAAACAATAGTAAAATTTATTTGCGTAAAACTATACACTCTGTTCCACAATTAAAATTTTACTTGTATCTGTAGAGCGGTGTTCATTTGCACAATTTAAAAGTGGTGAGAGGTATAAATAAATAAATTACATTTCAGTTTTTTAGAAACGAAAAGGATACCTACTTAGTGTTGGTATTTGATTTATGGCTTTCTGACAGTTATGTAAGATATGTTAAAATTCTGATAATGGTTTTATTTTTAAAGTGCTTTAGAACTTGAAGTCACAATTACATTTTGAAATTACTTATGTACGTATGTAAGTACTTCGAATTAAGGACTACAAGTATGCTAATTAAATTTGAATTACCTTAATCAGCAGAGTTTTAGGCTTTAGCTATTTCGAAAAAATATTGATGCTCTTTTAAAAATTTTTCATTCGCAAATCTTTACTAGGTCCTGAGTCCTGAATCGACTGAAAGCACATTATTTTACAGTATTTAGCGTAATTTGTTCTTCTAGTGACCTAGTTACATGAATATCTATCTATGATTTGTGATAATAATGTTTTGTGTCTTTTAAAACAGGACAACTTGTCCCATTCGTGTCATATAAAATCTATAAGGTGCTGCAGTATTAAACTAAAAAGAAAATAAGTTCAGCTACAAAGAAATTTCTTTATAATAATAATTTAACAACTTATCGGTATTCACTAATAATTATCTTACTTAGTGTTTTCTATAATTTTAGTGAATCAGCAGGATTTCGAATCGCCTTGTATATATAATACACAAACGCTTGTCAATGTAAAATTTACAGATGAGATGAGTAAAACGTGACCATCCAGCCATTATAATTTCAATCAATGTTGCACTCCTGTGGTTCTATGAAATAAAAAACATTTCCGCTTATCCAGTGAATATTTACCTACCTGCTTTCTGCTTAAAATGTACAAAATGGAAATTTAAATCGTTTTATAAACCTGCTAAATATTTGTAGATCAAATCGTTGTTGTTGGTTTTTACAAGACATTATTTAACATCGCATTTTCATTGATTTTAACGCCTCTTATTATTTGTGCTTAAAGTGTAAAAATGAAACAATTATTTTATTTAATCCATACACAAACCTTTTTTTTTATAATTTCCTGTTTGTTATTCTCGTAATGTATAAAACAAAAAAATACAAAGATAGCACTTTTGAAAAACAAAATAAAAGTATTTTTGTTTTACTAAACGTGTGTATTAATTATATTGACATAATTCAGCAATCTAATACCCGTGCCTTTTCAAAACAATTTATTACGTACTTAGGTACATTTTTATCAATTGTTGTTAGATAAACTGTATATTTAGCTTGTGTATTTCGATAAAAGAAAATAATAATTTTATTTAAAATAATAGTTTCGACTAAGTTTTTTATCGACATACAATAGACGAGGGTCCCGTAAATAGTGGTCAATAAATAAATAAATACTTAATTCCTTTACTTATGGTTGTGGCGCCCAAAAGGGGCTACTACTCGAAGACGGCAGGACTTTTACTAAGCATTAAATTCTTTTAGTCCCCGTATCAGTGTAACATTAGCATTTTTTCACGGCAAATATTAATTATAAAAAGTAATAATACAATTATTGCAGACTCAATTTATTAAAGAACTTTTGGTTTTTGCTGTGAGGTCTCGTAATACTGCAGCTTATTGAAAGCACAGCTAACGAATTTAGTCGCATTTGGACGATAGTACTGACAAGGAAATTTCTTAATCTACAAAGTACCGAAAAGTGTCTTTTTGTCGAACAGTTAGACGCAGGCATATAAATATATTCGCAATGCGATATTTATATGCGAAAAATTAACGAAAAATCGCTACCAGAATGTTGAACCAGTGCTGAACTAGAGACTGGAATGTTACACGTTAACATGAGTTGGTAAAGTTCCGGATGCTGATTTCTTCATCACTTCGTTCGTGCTGCCTTTTCAGTAACAACTACGTTTTAAGTGCATTACTTTTAGTGCTTCTTGAAGCCACAATTACATTTTGAAATTACTTATGCAAATATTCTAATTACCGGTTACATTGTAAAGTAACTAAATTGGGGAAAAAATCTCAATTAACTGGGTAGGCGGAATTAAATGTGGTCAAGTACCCGGAAAAATCATGTCTTCATTCTAAAAAAAACTTTTCGGTTTCATTCCCACCAGCCACTAATGCTGATGGGCGGGCAGTCCCTCCGGACTACGCCGGAAGGCCTTCTTCAGCTTCCTTTCAGGAATCGTGAGAATGGGTGAGTTGGTGGTTCGTGTGAGAAAGATGAGAGGGACGAAATGAAGACAGAAGAGAATGAAAGATTACTGCCCTAGCTTTTGCCTATGTGATCCAAGGAAACCACAGAAAAACTTGAACCAAGGACCCGGCGTCCTCCCGAATGCTAAGCAATAGACTAAACTTCCAGGCCTTGCTGCTCGGTGTCTTGATTCTGGCAGGCTTTCCGTTAAGTACCACCCTCACCAACGTTCCAAACTACACTAAGTCCTGTCCAAAAAGTTGTTTAAAACACTAAACCAATGAAATTTTAATTCTTGTTTCGCCGTTTGTTGGAACCGTTGAAATGAGCCTATAATGTTTATAAACACTAAAAATCTGCAAGGTGACAAAATCATACTAACAAGTTATTGTTAATCGAAACCTGATATACCAACAAGTACATAGCAATACGAACTAGGACAAACGACCTACCTCAGTACGATCTTAACTACCAATATATTTATTGCATTATTATTGTCGATGTTGATTTTTTTTTCTGTGGTACCCGATCGGATCTTAAAAAAACCAATCCGGCCGATCTCTAATACACTGTTAAAGCCTTTAAACCCAGTTATTTCGATGGTACAGACACTGAGTGTATATCTTTACTTGTGTGTAGGTATTGTAAGTCAGTGTTTTCAATTATTTACACCTAACGGTCTGTGTTCTATTCACTTTCCGTTTTGATCGTAGATTGTTTTGATTAGTTATCTTTCAAAACCTTCCACATTTTTTAGCTTTTACTTTCAAACTTCACCATCAACGTTGAAGTGAATATAACGATAATAATAATAATAATAATTACAGCGCTTTGTTTATGCTCTTTTTTCCTATGTAAACTATTCACTTAATAAAGCCTTGGTTATAGGTTAACCGTTTCCAAATTACCTGCGTTTAAATTGTTATCTAAGTTCTCTAAACCGTTATGTTTTTTGTAGGTAAACGGTTATTTTGTTTCTCAATCCACTATAATCAATAAATTCAATTACAATGACGGATTGTTGGCCGAGGTCAGAAGTACCCATTTCCGTTATCATGTTATTACATTGCCACTAATTTATTATTAATGTTGTTTCTTTGGAAAACATTTTATGTAATTCGCAAAACACTCTGGCATTAATTGCCCTTTATACTCTTTTTTTTTCAGGTACTGTCTCAATAATAGTATACCGCATAGCTGCACCAGGAAATCCTTCATGAATATTCTAGGGAGGACCTGTAGATACCAGAGAACGTCAAATAAAGGTAATGAACTTTACCCTTTTGCAAGAAATGTACCCTTTTTATTTTTATTACGTCTGTAACCTTTAGCAAAAAATTTTGCGATGGCGTATGTCAATGGAATAATTGTTAGGGTTTAAACAGTTAGTTACAAGAGGAATTGTAACAAATTAGCGCGTCCTACCGAATACAAAATTCAAATCGATCTTAATATTGATAAGTAGGTTTAAACGTTACAAAATAGATCCAACAAAACATCCATTAAAATTCATAAATCGGTGATGGTAATCGTAGATTTCATTTTTAGTTCAGCAATATCTCTACTGTCATGTTGTTAATGATCGAGTTCTTCTTCTTGTTCTCTATTTTCTATTCGTCTGCATCAAATTGTGTTTCTCAGTGTAAGGTGTTCATATAGTTCATATATTCCTCAGTATCTAAACTAGGGTGCAGATAAAACAGACTCTTTTATACTGTGTGTTCAGGCTTTTGAGGGATTGTACTGTTGTCGACGGTAATGACTCTGTCACCAGGAGTTTAGCCGCAGTTACCACCACATCCTGTCTATAATCCTTTGACCGAATATTGACATCTGTACACATCCAAAACTTTAGTAGTTTTTGATTAAAAATTTGAGTCAAATAACAACATCCTAGATATCGGAAGCACGACACCTATTAGTCCTTTTATTAGACGTTTTAGTAGTTTGCAAATTCGAAAAAGTAAGATCTTGAGAAGAGATAGATACAGTTAAGAAATAATCTTTCAAGTTTGATGGTCGTGGTCCAAAATAAAGTATTGGAGAAAACGCACAACCGTTGGCTAACAAATGATTTCTTGTTACGTTGTCATGTAATAATGTAAACATAGATAACGTTTTGTTATATATTTCATTCTTTCCTTATAAAAAAATACAATAAATGAGCAAATAGTATTTATGAGTTACGTTAATAACTGTTCATGATGCATGTATATATATGTGTGCCTATCTGGAAGTAACGTCTATTATGCGTAATTCAACCTTGTTACTCGAGGTCTCTATACTTAAATATTGAACTGATTTCTCTATGTAAGATAATAGTGTTTACTTGGCCTCAATAAGCATTTTGTTAAAGCCTTGCAATCAATTATGATTTAAACAAAGGAAGTACAATTCCATTTAGTATTTCTGGCATGCCTTGTTGCTATTTTTCGAATAGGTATAGCAAATATACGTAAGCACCAATTTATTAATGTTCTAATTGTAATCTATCGATAATGTACAATGTATACTGATAATAAAAAGACGAACACGAGGTTTACTTGGGTTTAGAACAATTTTTGCATCAGTCTAGCACGTGTTGTAGGTACTCACATAATTAGTGTGGCATGTGTATGATAATAGACAAGACTGATAATAAAAAGACAGACAAAACGAAATAATAAAAATAAGAAAACAAGACGGAAATAAAATCTTGAAATAATGCGTTGTCGCTAGATTAAAAAGTAAACTAGAAATGAAAGATAGCAGAAAAGAACATTGGAAGAAAAGCAGAAAAGGTTGCTTAGAAGATACCTACGAGAGAGAGTCCTTAAAATTTTATTAAAGAATACAATATAGCTTGAATTAGAAGAAATTTAGACAGTTGAAAAACTCCAAATACACCAAGGAATATAAACAAATCCTACCAGAATAGACAGTTAATTTCTTATCACAGTGTTTAAGTAAGAGAAAACAAAGTCGACTTAGAAATTAACGCAAGATTTCGAAAAAGAACAGGAAAGAAAACGCAAATTTTGTAAGAAGAAAATCCTATCTCGAACATGAATTAGAGCAATGTGAAAAACCTGGACTGAGTAATAAGAAGTGGAAAATGGAGCATATATACTAGGAAGGATAGAGTCAAAAACAGAAGAAACATAAATAATTTAAACAAACTGTACAAAAGCACACAAACAAACGAACAAAATACACCCAAAATACTAATTAGGTATTATATATCTAATTATAGACCATTTGTCAATAACTATTTATTAGTTGTTAAACGCAAAAGCTTCTGACCTTTTAAAAATTATCGTTAAAATTTTTGCCAGAATCTAAAACCATTTGTTTATTGTCTTAATTTAATTTAACAGATTGGCATTGTTACTAAAAATTAATTTGATTACGGAAAACCGTATCAAAATGGTTTGACAAGCTCCCCAAATTATTTCAACTGAAAATGAGTCGACCCTGATTTTAGAATTGTAATAGAATTATTGTAGTCAAGCACGTTTACCAATAATTGACGCGATAGATATGTATTTTGTAAATCACGCGAATCTTGACGATAATAAGAAAATTGGCCCCCATATAAATTTTAAACAAAAATTCTAAAAGTTAAATCAGATCATGTATTTCTTTCAACACCTGAAATACCAATGAGAACTTGTCAAAGTCAATGAAGAATTAATAACAAATAAGGGTAGAACTAAATGTACTGATTCGGAAATGGGATAGCATTATGCTTTTAAATAATCAGTATCCGTTTTTTTGTTAAAATTTAATTCATAAAAATAAATGCAACGTGAAAAGTTGGTATACTAAAATTACGATGAATTTTTAAAATCGCTACCAAAATACTTGTGTTTAATTTTTTTCATGATCCTATTTGAAAAATTTGTTAGTTATAGCAGTTTGTATCACGACTGTTAATTAAACATTTTCAAAATATCAGTACATATTACTCTATGATTACTGTTGTTTTACCTTTATTATTTATTTATGTATGTGCATGTAATGGAAACTTTTCATTTTTAAAAAATAACACTTGCGGAAAACACTTTAAAAGATAAAAAAAATAAACTTGAAATGTCTTATTGTGTCAATAAATTTGTCTAGAAAAAAAAAGACGCGTGTTGAAGATGCCAACTTAAGTCAACCTTCTTCTTAATTGTTCTGATGTAGGGTTTACCTTATTTAATTTTTTTAACTTGTTAATTACTAAAATTCACATTTGCAAAATACTTGTCGTTAGGTGAATTTGAGGGTAAAATTTGTGAGATTTTGGACGTAGGTCACTAGCCCATCGTGAGTATCTGACCTTGATATTGATAAAAAAACCAGTGGCGTATCTTATAAAATGAAGAGGTCAGTTTGAAGTGTACAGTAACCTGATTATTTTTGAACTTATTTGGAAACGAATTCATTGAAAAATACGTTCGTATTAATTTACATAGTTCTGTACAATATTAGTGCATATAGTTAAATGGTTTGATGTTTGTGAACGTGTTTGTATAATTGAAAAGCACGTGGCAGGAAAGTCCAGTGCTTCGGGTGTACTGCAGTAATGTCAGCTGGAACTTGTGTTAATGTTATCTACTGGTCACGTTTTGTAGCATAGATCCACGTGCTTTAAGCATACGTATCTGCTATCTATATACGTGTATGTACATAATATACCTACGTAGAAATTCACTCGGAGAATAATCGATTTTTGTTGTGTAATCGGCCCTACAAAACTACACACATCAGATCGTATACTTAATTGCACACACACTCGTAAGCGTAGATATACACTAGTTCATTTATAGATCATAATAGAATATGCAATTCTTTTTTGCCTTCGCCGTACATATATGTGTTTAAGCGTTGTTTTTCTGAACTTACGTAACCATTTAAAGCTATTATGCATAAACACACATGTGCTTCTAACTTAACTGGTATGCATTATTCGGATCACACACCGCCGTCTAACATTCGGCCACGTGAAGTGTGTATTATACACATTATACTTTTGAATAATCGTTTTAAAAGAATTCCTAAACAGTCATAAAACATAATTTCTTGATTTCCCTCTATTATTAGATAACATTGTATAGGAAATTACGCACAGCGGCGCCATATAAATAATTACAATATAGAATATGTATAGTATTTTGGTACATGCAATCACCAAAAAGGACATCATCATCTTATGAAAGATACGATGATTTACAGCGAAATTCGTATAAAAGAATATCCTTAACCATCTCATTAGCTTTAAATAAAATGGAAGCGGTACTGACAGATCAGTACTGTATGAAAATAAATAAAAGTAAAACTAAAATACTGGTATGCAAGGGAAGAAAAAGTAGGGAAAGAGAGAATATAAAGATAGGAGACGAAAAATTAGAGGAAGTGGCTGATTTTAGATACCTAGAAAGTCAGATAAGTGAGGATAGAAGGAGTAGTAGGGATATAAAGCAGAGGATAGCGCAGGATCATGTCGCCTTTAATAAAAAGAAGTCACTTCTATGCTCGCGACCGGTTAATTCAGAAATTCGAAAAAGGTTGTTAAAGGTGTATGTTTGGAGCACGGCGTTGTACTGGTGCGAAACATCGACAGTGGGCGCGGCGGAAAAGAAAAGGTTAGAAGCGTTCGAAATGTGGTGTTATAGGCGGATGATGAGGATATCGTGGGTAGAAAAGGTTAGAAATGAAGAGGTATTGGAAAGAATAGGAGAACAGAGGACTCTATGCAAGTCAATAAAAAATAGGCGAGATAGGTTGGTAGGACACCTTCTCAGGCATGAAGGTCTAATCGGAGACATATTAGAGGAAGAAACAGGAGTAAGGAGGGGTAGAGGTAGACCTAGATTAGATTACTGTTCGCAGATAGTTAAGGATGTGGGTTGTTCTAGTTTTAGGGAAATGCGAAGATTAGCTCAGGATAGGAAAGAGTGGAAGTACATGTCCAACCAGTCTTAGGATTGACGACCTTATGATGATGATGAACCATCTCATTTCAAAAGTTACTTCTTTTGCGAATAAGTTAGGAAATTTCATTGCAGGAAGTTCCCCAAGTCTAGAACTAATTCGCTTGGGATGAACGGTCAATTCCTATTAGTAATTCGCGCACGATAAATAAGGTCTTACCCCTTTCCGGAGGTATTTTGCTACGTATCTCCAATAAAAGTACTTGATTTGCGAATATGTCGGGAAATTTTATTGGGAGTAGTTCCCGAATTTACAACTGATTCGCACAGGGCGAACGGCAAATTCCCACGAGTAATTTGCGCGCGGT